AGCCATTTGCCTCTTTACGCATCAGTTCTTTCTGCTGCAAATGTTTCTCCATTTCTTCTTTGAGACCTCTGGCACTTCTCAACCAGTAGCAAATCTCTACTATACTCTTCTTTTAAGGCTTCTCTGCACCTTCATCTACCCATCTGATCCTGTTCTTTCCTGCTTCATAAATTCTCAGTTTACCTTTCTCACTCTATTCCTATCCCCTATTTCATGCTTTTCTTTCAGTTTGAATTAGTCAAATTTTAGCATCCTGCAGCTTTATTCATGACATTCCACTCACTCAAACTGAGTGAATAATGAGATGGAGGAGTTCCCCATTAACCATACATGCTGCACGCATAAGAGCCCAACAGTGGTACAGATCCCTCCTCCTGACTGTTCTGCCTGCTGAATAATGAAAATACTTTCTTCTCCTCAGAGGCATTGATTAGGAAAAGCCTTCCCACATACCTACTACAAAAGAAGTTGCAACAAGGGAATATCTAGATAAGGTGAAGGAGTGTGTCACAATCACATATCTTGGAGGGTACACAGCTTCAAAGGAGACTGCACATTCTAGTTTCAAGTTCCTTCCGCTCTCCGTAAGTTAGGTGACCTCCCGAGAATCATTTCTGTCTAGAATAAGCAGTATTTTTTTATAAATAACTATTTATACCATAAGAATGAACCCCATAGTTAAGTATTTCAAGTATTTGCATCTCCCTCAGCTTTGCTTCATTGGTACACTGGGCAACGTACGACTGAAAATCAAAAACCTGCAGTAGTACAACGACCCTCTGGGCCAGCAACCTCTGCTTCGCCTCAAGGCAATGCAGACACACTTTTCAGAGGACTGAAGAACACCTGCAGCCTTCAAAATGCCCTGGAGCTCAAAAAGCCTGCACATACCACTGCGGGAGCCTCTACCTTCCTCAAGATTGGGAGAAAGAAACGGAGACAAAACAGTCCTCAGTAACTCATTAATGCCAATGGGTTTTGGGCTCAAGAGATCCTGATGGCCTGTTACTTTTTAAAACTACTGAGCCATGTTCACTTCTCTGCAAATTAGTTTTTAAATTGACTCCACCACCACCTAATCTTTGCTGCCTTTACCGCTTTTCTGACAGCGACGAAAATCAGGCAAACGTAACACGTGTAAGCATCACGCGCACTTTTTCCTTTTTTCCTCTCACGTATTAAATGAGCAGGGCACCAAAGAACATGCAAATTTACTCAACATTCACCAATGCTTATTACACCTGTACTTTCTTAGACTGAAAACTAACAATTAGAGATACGTTGTATGGTAAAGTCACAGTACTAGCACTTTTACATCATACTTCCCATTCGCATGGGTGAACAAAGTTTTTCCACTTATACAGCAATTTCCACATACACAGCAATAACACTGCAGCTTATACATATTAATGTTTCTGAGTCTTACTCAATGAAAATTTCTTGAGCTACTAAAAAAAAAAAATAATCAGAATTTACCCAAATATCTTCTCTTTAACTGAATCACACGGTATACACGAGGCAACTTTTTACTACCCAAATATCTTTAAGGGTCTGAAATAAGCAAATGTTAGTTCTTCCCAGTAGTTTAAAACTTTCAGATAATTTAGGAGTGTATTATACTGTGTAAATTATTATATTCTTTTAAAACTTGGGGAAGCTGAAAGGTCAAAAAGGCAAGTTGTCCACCATTCTTTACTTGTTTCCTATTATTAACCCCAAAATCCTTGCTCCTTTTTATAAAGTAACATGCCCAGACAGATAGGAATCGAAGGCTTAGCTAGCATGGTTACAATGTTTAAAAAACAGAAGTTCTTAAATGCTTCCATAAATTCAGCACTGCCCAGTTAGAACAAACTGGAGCTGTAATTTAATTTTTGCCATTAACATTTTTATTGAACTAGAAGCCACAGATTACACACCTTTGTATACACTATGTTAATATTTGGAAAGCACCATAAAATATAAAATGGAAATGAGCAAAATACATGAGTAATACTAAAAAAATTTAGCTTTAAAAAGGTTACACACACCTCCTAAATTCTGAGTGCAAGGGAACCAACGTAGTGCAATTATGCTAGGAAAGCCATCGCTGCTTATAAAACGTTGTGCAGCTGTTGGAGGAGAGGGTTACAGTGACAAACAGCTTCCCTGCTACAAAGGTGGCAGGAAATCTATCAAACTGGACAATAAAATTGCAATTGAGTTTCTTTGGCTTTTTATAGCAGCTGCATGTATCTTGATGTGTAGCTCTGCAAAACCTATCCAATTCTGTAACACTGGTCCTTTATACACTAGTTCTTTATCATAGAATGGCGTTATAAATTAGTGGCAGGAACGGCGCAAAGGGTTGTAAAAAGGAAAAATAAGCAGTAACCCAATACAATTAGAGATGGAATAATAAAAACACAAATTGGTTATTCTCTTTGCCATGTTAAGGAAATATTTTTGTTCCCATAATTCCCACATTACTTTGAAAGCATGCCAGAAATCAAAAACATCTGAGATGCACCCAGCATCAAGCAACTTGCCCACTGAATTACATCTACACTATGTTATATGTGACTCTGCATGAATCTATATGAATCTCAATATTGGCTTAATAGGATACAGGAATAATAAGTAAAAATTAGAGGGATTAAAAATTCATTATCATTAGATATTAACATCAGTCTATAAGGACACTTTCAATCTTCTTACAACAAATTGATTTTCAAGCGATTTCTAAGGTTTTATCACAAAAAGCTTTTTTGTGATTTAACATAATTTATGCTTATGTAATTAAAATCATCTACCTTACTGCATATTGCTAGTTGCAAAAATTGCATGTATTACTTATTTAAAAATTCAAATGGCAAACACATAATAAAGGTAAAAAAATCCAATTTTAAAATCCTTTATTATTGCATCACCATTCATACACTATTGTTAAGTTACTTTCTGGGCGCTTTTGTTGTTTAATCATTTTCATTTAGGCTTCTGGAACTGGATAAATATTAGCACCAATGTCCAAACAAACTGAACAGCTTTGTAATTCCTTCAAAATTACACCTCCGCTCTGCTGCAAGCTCTGCCCACACTCACATGCTTCCAACCTTGGCATTATTGAACTTCCTCTGAAGTAGGCTGGAAGAACAAACAGTCCTTACATATTGACTGGAAAGCCAACGAAGTTAGACTTGGGAAAACTGATACAGAAAGTTACTTATACAACCAAAGATGCCTCACTATGCTAGGAATCAAAAATGATAAAACACGGATTGAAACACGTCATTTTCTTACTCACTATGGTATTGCACAAAACCAGCTTTTTTTAAAAAAAAATAAAAAAATAAAAAACCCACAAATGTAGCATTATCTGTATCTCAATTCTTTTCATATTTTCTAAAACCATAGTTGTTTTCTTAACATTTGGCCGTGGCATCACAACAAAATCTTGGTTTTCCCTCCATGAACTCTAGACTATTGATTAGTCACATTAAGTCACTGAAGATAATGACCAAAAATCCATAGAATCATTTTGACATCGAAGCTGTTTCAATGAGATTTCCAACATTACATTATCTTATGAAAAGAGTCTAAGAATAGAACTACAGCTTTTAAGATAACGTGCTAGATGATTTTTAAGTTCAATACACCAAAGCTCTGTACAACAGTGGTAGAAAGGTGGTCTTCCTTCACTCACCTCTCCCTCTTTTCCCGGGGACAGTTCCCCAGCCATCATAGAAACACTTTAAATTATGCCAGTTTCTACAAAAGCGCATTAGGGATCTTTACTCTGGCTATGGCTTGCTATCGTGCAATCTACTCCACCCACACCCTCTGCACCTT